CAGATTTGTGGATGAAACTAAGCTGGCAGGAATAGCCAACAATCCAGAAGATAAGCTCAGGATCCAAAAAAGATCTTGACAGACTTGAAAAATGGGCCCTATCCAATAACATAAATTTAATGTGGAGAAAAGTAAGGTTTTACACTTAGATAGGAAAAACCAAAGGTACAAGTACAGATTAGGTGAAACCTGGCTCAAAAACAGTAACTATGTGAGGGACCTTGGAGTCCTAGTAGATCAGCAGCTCCCAATCTTTTCTATACCCCACACCCCTAGAGTGCTTCTGATATATTCTCGCATCCCTTACAAAAGTTCAAAATAATGGCAATAAATTATGCATATACACTATAATTTTGAAAAGCCAAGTTTTTGCACCCCCTTGAATATCATCTCGCACGCCCTGGTATAAATAGAGGCATAGAATCAAAATCACGTGAAGTATTAGTACCACTTTATCAAGCCATAGTAAGGCCACACTTGTAATACTGCATCCAATAATGGTCACCACATTACAAAAAAGATACTGAGATTTTAGAAAAAATGCAAAGAAGAGCAATTAAATAAGATGATTAAAGAGACTAAAACATAAGAAGAACAGTTGCAGGATTTGGGTTTTGTCTAGTCTAGAGAAAAGAAGGATTGGGGGGACATGATAGCAGTATTCCAGTATTTGAGAGGTTGCCACAAAGAGGAAGGGGTCAATTTATTTTCCAAAGCACCAGAGGGCAGGACAAGAAATGATGGAAACTAATCAAGGAGAGAAGCAACCATGAATTAAGAAGAAACTTCCTAACAGTGAGATCAATTAGCCAGTGGAACAGCTTGTCTTCAGAAGTTGTAGGTGCTTCTTCACTAGAGGTTTTTAAGAAGAGACTGGACAGTCATCTATCTGAAATGATATTGAGTCTCCTGCTTCAGCAGTGTCCAACTAGAAGACCTCCAAGGTCCCTTCCAGCTCAATTCTGATTGAAGATAATGCAGTTTTTCCTTGAGTTTTATTTTTCCCTATTGATCACTAAATCCTATTGACATTTTGCTGCACTTTTAACCTGGCTATTGAGTCCCCCCCCCCGCATACTTGTTTTTTAATACTGACAACTCATGCTTGTGTGGAGTTTAAATCTGAATATGGAAATGTTCAGGGTGCTGTTGATAAAAGACCCGTTGGAGTGAGGCTAGTAAATATTTCTCAGGGAGACTCAAGTGTTACGATATAAATTAATTTATACAGACTGTGTGCTAAAAATACAGTCAGAGAGATGTATCTGTGACAGGCTGCCTACCTGGTTTCTATGCCAACCATCAGTAGAGTTCATTAAGGTACATCTGGTTTCCCCAAAAACTAGCTTTAAAGGGAATCAGTAAGATTGCCATTCAAGGCCACAAGAGAAAGAAGTGTTGGCTTAATTCAACTGTTGTATGAATACAAATAGGGATAGTTTACTAAGAAACAAAAAAAAAGTCAGTACTACAAAGAAGTTTACAATCAAGCCAAAGATTAGAATTGAAATTGCATTATTATTACTATTGTCATCATTACTTGCATTCTAGTCATGCTGTAAAGATTAAAAACTAGTGGAATATTTAATCTACTCTAGTAGTAGGGAGGAGAGCCAGTATCGTATACTGGTTAAGGTACCAGGCTAGAAACCAGGAGACCATGAGTTCTAGTCCTACCTTAGTCCTTAGTCCTACCTAGGATGGAGGGAATGGCAAATCACTTATGAAACATTGCCAAGAAAACTAAGGGATTTATTAAGGCAGTCACCAGGAGTCAATACTGACTTAAAAGAACCATCCCCTCAAAAAAAAGCAGAAAGGAACTAGGCAAACTCTGAAAGGGAGGTAAAGCTCTGTACTGTCTTCTGTCCCTCCATAAGTTTAGTAAAAGAAAATAAATAAACATAAATAGATATAGCTGTACAAATATTTTGTATTGGAATAATTTATTCAGGCTTTTGTCCTGGGATTTTATTTTTTAGGAAAGAGAATTCAAGCTGCAAGCATGCCTCTGGCAAGAGGTTAATATAAAAGTTCCAAGTCAAATAGATCACTATATCATAAACCACAATTGTACACAGGTTAAATAATTATTGTAGCTTCCAAACACTCCTTTAAAAGTTCTGACTGGACTATAATTTACAAAGCTCTTTAATTAATATTCCACCTTTACCTTATCATAGAGAATTTGCCAACTATAGAAAAACATAGCAATGCCTCCTCCCTCAATATTCCTACCCATTTCCACCTGGAGAAACTGCATAGATCTACTTATCTACAGAATGGCAGATCCAGAAACATTCTTTTAAACAGAGGACTAGCTGAGAGGAAAAGTATCCAACAACATATTTGCCCTCTGCCTGTAAGCTCCTTTGAGAAATTGGACACCTGGAATGCAGAGGAACTTTTAAGCTGATCAGAAAAGCTGTAGTCATAGCCAAAACAGGAGAAATATCTTATCATTTCTAAATAACAAACATCTTAAATTGAAAAGATATTATAGCATGTCATATTGGGAAGATTTTTCTGAAAACAAAGCATAGGACAAAGTGGAGCCCCTTTTTTATTTGCCTGAACACATGAAGGTTTGAAACTAGACAGAAATAGAGCTGCATAAAGTTCCCAATCTGTACATATTGAACTGGGAATTCTGAATGGAAATAGTATTCACATTAGTTTGTGTACAAAGAAAATTTTCTGCTACAAAATAATGTTCAGGAGTACATAGAAAGCTGAATTTGTATTCCACACATGTCAAACACAAGGCCCGCGGACCAGATGTGGCCCGCAAAGTGGTTTCATGTGGCCTGCGAAGCCATCCTGAAAAACAGTAAGGGAACGGCCCCCGCTGCCTTGGCCCTGGCCCAGATCAGGCGGGAGCCAATGTACAATTTTGTGGTGGCCATCTATGCTGAAACGTGTTCAGTCTTAGCTCCACGAGGCCATCTGGAAACAGCGAGGAACCAGCCCCTGCCACATCAGCCCAGCCCCCTGGGTGCATGCTGGGGAGATGTTACCCTTTGTGAGGAACGAAGAAATGCACCATCGCTTGGAAGTGGCCAGCAAATGGCCCTTACCTACTTCACATATCCGGCTTGATGGGCTCCAGGGGGAGGGGTTTAGGCAGACAGCGGGGCACTCTCCTCACAGTGCCGAGAGGCTGAGCCAGGTGGTGAAAGTCCAAAAAGAAACACGAGGCCACCCAGCTCCCAGCCTGCCTGGTTTTGGCAGGCAACGGGGCGCTCTCTTCATGGCGCCAAGAGCTGAGCTAGGTGGCGCGAATCTGATAAGAAGTGCAATGTTGCCCAGCCCCCAGCCTGCCCAGTTTCAGCAGGGAGCAAGGTGCAAAGCTGGCGAGCTTTGCACCTCCCAGCTCAACATCTCGGCACTGTGAGAGCACCCCACTGCCTGCCGAGACTGGGCAGGCTGGGGGCTTGCTGGGGGCTGGGCAGCATCACGCTACTTTTCATATTTGTGCCATCTGGCTCAGCCTCTCAGCGCTGTGAGGAGAGCGCCTCGCTGCCTGCCAAAACTGGCAGGCTGGGGGCTGCGTGGCATTGTGCAGGTAACTTTGATTCTCATGCTGCTCATGGCATCCCGTCCCCCAGAGCCCACCAAGCCAGATATGTGAAGTACATGAGGGCCATGTGCTGGCCACTTCCAGACGATGGTGCATTTCTTCATTCCTCATGAAGGGTGACACTTCCCCAGCTGCGTTTCTTGCCTGTTTTTCTCCCTCCCTCATCTCAAATATTTTCCCACCACTCTGTACTTAGGAAGAAAGGAAAGAAGAAAAGAAGGAGAGGGAGAGTCTGAGGGAAGTCATGCCTTAGTCCTACCCTGCTGCCCTTTCACCATCCACTTGCCCCCTCCTCCAGGCCTATCATGGGATCTCCCATCCTATTCCTAAGGAAGCCTTGGATACAAAGCTGGGTTTTCTCCCATGGAGAGAGAGTGAGCCTCCCTCTGACTTTGCCATTGTACCCATCATGAGCAACCTAGCTAAGGAGAGCAAGCACAGCAGCAGCAGCCTTGAGGAAGAGGTAAGTGCAGCTGGGCACCCCCTTGGGGAAGTGGGGCTGGGCTTGGTGCTGCAGGTGCTCAAGGGCCAGGCTGGGCATTTGACCTCTGCTACCCAGGGCTCCGGGCAGCCCGTGCCATCATCCATTCCCCCCCCCCCCGCATGGCCTGAGAGGAAAAGTGGGGCTCCTCCAGTGGATCATGCCTTGGCACTTGCCCTGGTCCCACCCCCTTCTGCCAGAGACTCTCAAATCTATACCACTCCTGCCCAGGCCCCCATAGGCCCCCTTGATGTGAACGATGTAGAGCTGGCCACGCCCACCCAGTAGGCCATGCCCACTCCATCCATGCCCACCCAGTAGGCTGCACCCACCCTGGCCGCACCCACCAGCCCCCCCGAGGGCAACTGCAATGCTGATGCGGCCTTCAATGAAATTGAGTTTGACACCCCCGTTGTATTCAAACAAACGTAATACCAAGACCTCTTCAGACCATTTCAACCAAATGTGAGGATGCTTAAAGAGAACTTTGGATCTTATGCTTGGACCATGTGAAGTAGAAAGAAATAGCATGCAATGATACTCTGAGTTATCTCCCAGCTCCAAATACAGAGATGTAGGAAAGTGAAGAATTGGTACTATTGGAATCCTGCATGGTAACAGTAGACGGTAATCAACTCTAGTCGGTATGGTAGATGCCATATTGCAAGTACTATATGTTACAAAGTGAACGAAATATACTGTGTATAGTTCAGAGTTGAACTGTAGAGTCCTTTGTGCGCTCTCAGCCTGATTGTTTGCTTGTAGTTATTTCGTTACCAGATTAGATAACTTAGTTTCATTACTTACTCTGGTAATGAAATGTCTGCAAGCAAACAACTAAACTTAGAACGCACTCCAAGCTAATATATGGCTCCATCTGACACCATCCATGATAAATACAAGTAGTCTTAAATTGGAGTATAAAACAATGTTTCATACCTGATACTGAGAAGAGGCCTTGTTTTATGAACTTGAACATCACACATTGGGCAATATTTGTTGGTTTCCAGGTAGCGGACAATGCAGGTTTTACAAACTAAAAAAGAAAAGAAAACATTGGTAGAAAAGGGGAATCATGCAGAAAAATGTGCCAGAATTTATGAAATGAAGAGATATCCAAATCTGGATCAAATCTGGCCTTATTATGAAGCAAAGCAGTGGTTACTCAAGCTAGCTAGAAAATCATCTGAAGTCAAAAATTATTTCAGGGCTGCAGTTTTTGATATATTAGTCATAGACAAAAGGAACCATGTGCTCGATTTTTTTAAAAAAATGCACAGCAACAAAGATAAAACTTGACATGCATTATAGGATAGGAATAAAAATTGTCTATTCAAAATCCAGCCAAATGGTTGATTTATTAACCATATGACAAGCCCAAGTCCAGATAAATGGGAGCGTTAGGGAAAACAACGGTGAACATCCTGTAAAAAAAAAAAAAAAACCCTCACCAGAACACCTTAAGGCAATAACCTAACATGATTCGGGCATGGATACCAACAGTAGACCCCCCCGGGCTGGATAGTAACCAGCAAGATACTGGAGAAATGCAACAGCCAGCTTTTAGTAGGTTTTTAGGCATTGTTGGATTGTTGAAGGAAAGTCATTCCAAAGCCCAAGAATTGATGATGCCTATGACAAAAGGGGTTGCCTACGCTGTACAAAGTTATATCAAATTGGAACATGGAATGTTAAAAGCATACCCCTTGGGAAACTCAAAATTATAAATAGAGAATTGATTAGCGTGAACATAGACATCCTTAGCATCAGTGGCGCTAAGGCAGTGATGAATTCAAATCAGTAGAGTTTATGGTTTATTTTTCTGAAAATGACATCATTAGACAAAAAGGAGTTGCATTCTGCATAAGCAGACAAGTAGCTAAATGTGTTGAGAATCACAGAGTATACAGTGATCACACAGTATCTAGTCATATTTGAAGCAAGTCACTCAATATCACCATACTACAAATCTATGCTCCAATTGTAGACTCAGACGATGATGAAAGTGGACTTTTTTACAGTGAGTTTCAATGTGCTCTCAAGCAAATATCAAAAAAAGGATCTTTTTAATATTATGGGTTGAGCAAGGGTTGGATTAGAAAACTTCCAAGGACCATTCCAACTCTGCTATTCTGAGGACTACCTGTACTTGTTTTCACTTTTGAAACAATGATTTTACTAGCCTTTTCAAAATCACACAATCCCTTTTGCTAAGAATGTAAGCACATTTGCTATAAATTTAAATGAGAAATTGTACTCCAGTGGATGAGTGTGCAGTAGTAACTTCATGTCTCATGAGTTTTGAAGGCATCTGTAGACAACTTGCTCTTTATAAAATAGAGGTTTATTTATATCAATAACTGGCATTTAATTGTACTCAGACATCATACATACGGTCAAATATATAAAGCATTAAATAATAAGAAGCAAGGGTATCTGATATTGTGGTAAGTGATTACTTTTTTCTTTTCTCATTCACTGGTGACTAACTGGTAAGTAGCATTAAATGGTTAAGATGAGAACTCAGACTTAACTAAATGTTGCCTCTTTATTTTAACTATGAGCATCTTGTCAATTGGAATCTTTAGCTTATTAGCTTTAGCCTAACTCATCCTTCATAGCATTAGCATCATATCTTGCTGTTTTAGCTGTCACTCAGGTCCAAACTTACTAACAACTTTATCTTTATTGGGCCGTACAGAGGAAGAATATTTTGAAAGTCAGGGAAATCAAGGTTACCAGGACAATTTGAAGAATGGGAGATTAGCTATCCTGTAGTGACGGGAATATAATGGTGGGATTCAGCCAGTTCGCACCAGTTCGGCTGAACCAGTAGCTAATTTTTTGTTGCCCAGGCCCAGAATAGACTTCTGGAAGTGGCATCCACACAGAGAACTTGTTGTTCACATATTTGAATCCCACCACTGAGGGAATCATGTTCTGAATGGACAACATGATTATCCTGAGTATTTCAAATAGACCTTCATCAACAAGAAAGTCCAGAGAGTCTGTCAAGTTCAAACAGGGCGCTTCCTTATTTAACACTCACATGAATGTAAGCATTCCACAATAGTTGTGGCATCTATAAAGTAGCCTCCACATAAGGCACACATTAAGTGGGGGTTCAGCTCTGTGATTTTTATCCTGGTGGTTCTGTGCATCCTGATGAATTCAGGCAGTTGTCTCTGAGAAAAAAGAAAGAAAGAATAACACAAGAGTAAATCAAACAGCCTCACCCATCCTGAGAGGGTAATGATTGGCAGACATCTCACTTTACAAACTGATGGCCAACAGCAACTATTGTAGCTAGCTAATAGTAGCAACTATTATCTCATAAACAGTGATTATCTGTTTTGACTAGATTTTCTCATAGGCAAGGATTATCTGATGTTGGACTAAGAAAAAGCTTTCATCTTTTCCACATAATCTTTGACTGGTGCTATCAAATAAAACATGGAAAGGACAAAGTTATTCCCAGCGTCCAGAGGGCCTTAGATGTCACTCTTCTATCACACTATTCCTTTAAGATAAGTACAGAGGTTCTGTCAGGTATTCTCAAAACCACATTCTTTTTTTCAAATAATAAAATCCCACTTCTCTTCACAAAAAGGAAACCCAGGGTGCCTAATAAAATTCATGAAGCCAAACTGCTACTCACAACATTGATAAAAAATTATAAAATGTAGTGATTGTTTTGAAACTCGAACACAACACAATTTATTTATAGTACTTATTTTATTAGACACCTGTATGTGCTATTTATTACTTATTTCATTTAACTACGTGTGCCTTATTATTTAATCAAATAGGCTCAGGCTAACTACCATAAACTTTTTAATAGAATATTTAAATAAAAACAGCAACATAAAGAAATAAATACTAGATATTGCACAAAATGCATAAAAATAGTTGCCATTTATTTATCTGTAGTAATCTTTATATTGTTTTGATAGCTACTTTAAACACTGACATGACTAGAAAGGCAGGATATAAACTGAATAAAATGTAAAAATACATAATTATATAAACTATATGAAAATAACCAATTAAAATATCAATAAAGGTGAAAAGACTATACCAGGGGAAGACAAAAGTTCCAAGTCATAAAGTCCTGCTTAAATAAGACCGATTTATTTGTGGGCCAAATATCAACAACTGATACAGGGTTAGGCAAGTGCCTCTCAATGCTTGTTTCCAAATTTGAAACAGAATGCTATATAAAGGTTTATTTGATTATTTCACGAATTCATTCCCATCCAATTCAGAAAAGAGAAAATATGTCTCTGCAGAAGATCTCAGCACTTGCACAGGGCCAGATGGCAGAAGGTGATCTTTCAAGAAAATTAGTTTATAGGTAATAAAGATAATTCAAATTATCTTCAGAAACACAAAATAGCAACCAGTGTGGCTCTTTAAGCCCATATGTCTTGTGCTGCCAAATCATTAACTCCATAGTCTGTCAGCAATCATCTGAGCTGGCTTCAAAAGACAGCTTGCCATAGCTATCTGCAGTCATTCAAGCCACCAAGATATGAGACTATCAGCCAGTGCCATATCACACTCTTCAAGGGACAGGAAGAGTTTGCTTCACCAATCTGAGCTGAGGAAAAACATTTAAGTAACTACCCATTTGCCTCACCTAAGGAATGATGGTGCCTCTCTGAAAAAAGGGAACTCACCAGGGATCAGGTTAAAGAAAGCAAACTTAACAACAACAAACTATTCTGATTTTTGAATTCTTTTTGAAAATGAGATCTTTTTTCTTAGCCAATTTTATCAAAGGTCAACTGAATGGGGTAGAAATTCAGCCCTTGACATTCTGCAGAAATTAGTGAAAGGATAGATTTTTTTATTTATATCCCAGCGTTATTCTTTTTATTATTTTTAGAAATGACTCAAGGCATCGAACATATCCAATACATCTTCTTATTTTCTCCACGACAATAACCTTGTGAGGTGGGTTGGGCTGAAAGAGTGACTGGCCCAAAGTTACCCAGCTAGGATTTGAATTCATAGTTTATCATTTTCTAGCCCTGGTGCCTTAACCACTAAATCAAACTATTGATATATAGATTCCTACCTCTATCTGTTTTCCTGATCCTACCTCCTTTTCCACCCTAGTATATGTTAAATAACATCTCTTAAATAGGCTACAAGGAGAGGTCTTTGATATTCATGGTTCAGTGGCACTTTCAAGAGAGCTTTGTGTGCAACTTCCAGGTTACTGCCCTGTACTAAACCTGGTACATCCTCTCTCTGTTTAAGGTCAGAAGAGAAAATGGAAGAGCTATCTGATACAAGAACAAATGCACACTAGGCAAGCGTCTAACTACATGCTTGAGAAAGATTTTGGATATTATAATAGCAGCACTGAGAAAACTCAAACTTCTGCCTCACCTTTTTTTAGTTTCCTATTAACACTGAGTTTTTACCAGCCCACAATCAAGGAAAACAGTGATGCAATTAAATAATATCAGAATTTATATAAAGGCTATTTAAAGGAAATTGGAGGAAGAAAAAGGTAGTGGAGATGTAGACCTTCTGGTGGGAAAATATATAATCAATTTCTTCAGCAGAAATTTTTAAACTAGTAGGTAGAAGGGGCGTTGGTCTTACCTGAACGCCTTTTCTCAGTACGGAGATGGATAATCCACCGATGGGTTTTCTCTGTCTGCCTGCTTTTGAGACCAAGTAGTCAAAACTTGACACGCCCCCACTTCCTGTGGAGTCCATTCTTAACGAGGGTGAATTGGCTGATGATTGACGAGGTATTGGCTCTCAGCTCGCTACTAGCGGCCTGCTGGCCTTGGGGTGGGTGTGGATTATCCATCTCCGTACTGAGAAAAGGCATTCAGGTAAGACCAACACCCCTTCTCCAGTACAGGAGATGGATAATCCACCGATGGGACGTACCAAAGCCTCACTGTCCCAAGGGGTGGGAAACAGATAAGGCCGGTAGATTGATCTCTGAGACAACTTGCTGGAGGACCCTCCTACCAAAGGAGGTGTCCGCCGATGCAAAGCGGTCTATCTTGTAGTGTTGTATAAACGGGGAAGGCGAGGACCATGTCGCGGCCCTGCAAACTTCCTCGATTGACGCCTGGGTAGCCCATGCCGCTGAAGTTGCAGCGCTTCGGGTGGAATGGGCCGTGAGATGACTTGGGGGCGGCAGGGATGATACATTGTAAGCTTCTGCGATACAGCTTCGGATCCACCTTCCAATGGTGCCCGCAGAAACTTTCTGCCCCAAGGTGCCCGCTTGGAAGGACACAAATAGGGCCTCCGATTTGCGGAAGGGTTCTGTATGCTTTATATAACGCCGCAAGGCTCTGCGGACGTCCAATGTATGCCACTGCCGTTCCCGGTCATGTGTTGGATTTGGACAGAAGTTTGGGAGACTTACTTCCTGTGTCCTGTGAAAGAGTGAATTCACCTTCGGTATGAAGGAAGGATGTAACCTAAGGACCACCCTGTCCTTGTGGAAAATGCATAGGTTGTTTCTGACTGACAGTGCAGCCAGTTCCGAAATTCGTCTGGCCGATGTGATGGCAATCAGGAACGCCACCTTTAGCGACAGGTGTCGCAAGGAAACGGTCGCCAATGGTTCAAATGGTGACCGAATGAGCGCGTGAAGGACTCGCAGTAGTTCCCAGGACGGGTACCTGTGAACTACTGGAGGTCTGGTGTTATAGGCGCCCTTGATAAAGGCGCGGATCCTGGGGTGGTGAGCTAAGGGAACCGAATCCATGCAGGTGAGGAGGGTGGACAAGGCCGCCACTTGCCTGTGGATGGTCACGGGGGCGAGGCCTACTATCTGAGGAATGTAGAGTTTGTGTAAGTCAAACTGCCGTTCCCTGCACCAAAGGCAAAAATTTTTCCAAGTAGAGTCGTAAATGCGATTTGTTGCCGGATGGCGTGAAGCTTGAATTATGGTAATGGCCCCGGGAGAGAATAGTTCCTGTGCCATTATCCGGTGCTCAAGTGCCAGGCGGTCAGTTGTAACCATTGGGTTTCCGGGTGACTGATAGTTCCCTGGTGTAGGGACACTTGATGAGGGGGAATGTTCCATGGGGGCGACTGAGACAGGTTCATCAGGTTGGCGAACCACGGTCTCTGTGGCCAATATGGTGCTACTAGGATCACTTCTGCCCGCTCGTGAATCAGCTTGCAGATGACCGCCGGTATGAGTGGGAGTGGGGGAAAGGCATAAAGCAGACCCTGAGGCCACTGAGTTCTCAGGGCGTCCGTCCCCTCTGCTCATGGGTTGAAGTAACGAGAGTAAAATCTGGGGAGCTGGGCATTGTCTGATGATGCGAACAGATCGAGGGTCGGGTACCCGAACCTGCGGAAGATGTCTAGGAACAAGTTCGGGAGTAGCCCCCACTCCGAAGAGTCCACTGTGGTGCGACTTAGGAAGTCCGCTTGCTGGTTGTTCACCCCCGATATGTGTTCCGCTTTTAGTGACTTCAGATTGGGCTCTACCCAGCTGAATAGGAGTCGTGCCTCTGTCATCAGGGTTTTTGATCTGGTCCCCCCCTGCTGATTGATGTGCGCCTTGGCTGCTACGTTGTCTGTTAGGACTAGAACATGGTGGCCTCTGATTCTGTCTTTGAATTGTTGCAAGGCTAGGTGGATAGCCCTGAGTTCTAGCCAGTTGATGTTGTTTTTCTCAGATCCGCGGCGGACCAATGTCCCTGTACAAACTGGGAGTCCAGATGGGCTCCCCAACCATACAGACTGGCGTCTGTAGTGATGGTAACTCTGACTGGTTCCTTGAAGGGTGACCCCTTGATCACGGCCCGAGAGCACCACCAGCGTAGCGCCCTGCGGATTTGTGGCGTGACCCTGACTAGGTGGTTGGATGCGCTGGTGTTCTGCCATTGGTAAGGTAGCAGAAACCACTGTAGTTCCCGTAGGTGGAGCCTGGCCCAGGGCACAATGGCTATGGCCGATACCATCTTGCCCAATAATTGGGAAAGTGTTAGTATCGGAACTGAATGCTGCCTGTAACCCAGCGAGCCATTTCCCTGATGCTGGCCACCCACTCTTGGGAGAGATAGACCATACAGTTGGTTGTGTCTATCGTGGCCCCCAGATGCAGCAGCCTGGACGAGGGAACTGTCTGGCTCTTCTGAAAGTTTACTGAGAATCCGTGTAATTGGAGGACGCGAATGATGGTCCTTAC